AGGCAATGTGTGTTTGCTTCACCTAGCAAACGAGGGAAGGAGAACGCCCTTGATCAGAGCGAAGATGTGAAGTACTCGGGACACAGCAAAGCAGCACAAGTTGATGGAAACTTGTAATGCAGCAGAGATGGTGTCGCAGGATCAAGGAATGATGCCAAGTGAAGGAGCAAGGGCAAGACTGCAAGAGGGTGTCGCAAGGTCAAGGAATGCCGCATGGAGAGCAGAGGTTGATCTTGAGCTTCCCCTACCTCAGGGCACCATTAGCTGCTGAGGATGTAGGAAATGCTCTCCAATTTTTATTCAGTGAAACATTTAGAGAGGTAATTCTTACTTTTGTTCTATTATATATTTGATTAAAAATGTTGCTCTAAACTTGTTTTAATTGATTTTGTACACCCTTTTTTTGGGTGCTAAAACATTCATGAACTTCCAATTCACTTGAAATCTCTTTTTCTTTCTCGTTTCTTTTTACTCTAGTTTACTAAAATTGGTAAGTCCCAAGCTGAATCTGTTATTCGAGGACTATCGCGTGGAGGAAGTGGACGGCCTGGACAGTTTGTGATGGGAGTGACTTACTTGTGTGCACTCTGTGGCTCTGCCTATCCGGCATGAATATGATTCTCCTGCATCAAAAAAGGTAACCCCACCCAACCCGAGGACGATGGTTTTCACATACTGGTGTGATTTGAATACGGCAGCATGATTTTCTCATCCTTCGCTTTCACTTTAATCTTCAGGTAGACACAGCGCGGATACGTTGAAGAGTGTGGGTTCGTTGCGTGCTGCCTCATGCCTGTGCTTGCTTGAATACTCGTACATTACGTTTACTAAACTAGGCTGCGTAGCTTGCTGTTGGGGCTACAGATTTCCCCCGGGAAGGATACATCATCCTGGTCATGGATACTGCACAAGGTAAAAAAACATGAAGCGAGAAATTGGGTCGCTTTGTCGCAATCCCCTACTCAGATGTATGTTGCTGCCCATGAATCAGCACCGGATATGACTAATAATACGAAGCCCGTTATTTGGTGCACTAGGAGGACACTGGGCTTTGCACTCATCACTTGCTTGGAGTTTCTTCATAGAATAATTGTTTCAGTTGACCTGTGTTAGGATATGACATTATTATTGAGCTTTGATTAAATACGAAGGGGAGTGCTTGCAACTTCTCACTTACCTTCTCATTTTAATCTTTTCACTTTTACTCATGTTACACGTATTCCACTAGCATGTAAAACTAAAAATTTATGAAAAATGCTAGGGAGACTGGTTTTGAATCATATGTTGTTGACCTCATGATATAGAAGTTGATGGTTAGTTACCTTCCTTAATGATTTAAGACTTGCATAGCATAGTATGTAACACTTCCATTTATTTCCTAGGGATGGGATAACAAAACCAATAACTCATTTATTATGCCGGAGCATACACGACTTTTCGTGTCAGAAGAATAACATGCTCTGACAGTAATACCATGACACTTTTTAGGCCTATCATTACGAGGTGTGGAGTTCATCATTACTAGGTGTTGCCTACCATCTATTACTAGGTGTAAATTTTATCGCAAAAGAGCTCAGTGATATTTAGCGGTGAACCTCCCACATATAATTCGTATATTATTTTTTGGGGTGTGATATCCACACACCCCATTTTATTTCTCACACTCTTCCATTTTCGGCCGTCGTATCGAATGAATTGAAAAAGATCAACAACAACAACAACAACAACAACAAAGCCTTTTCCCACTAAGTGGGGTCGGCTATATGAATCCTAGAACGCCATTGCGCTCGGTTTTGTGTCATGTCCTCCGTTAGATCCAAGTACTCTAAGTCTTTTCTTAGAGTCTCTTCCAAAGTTTTCCTAGGTCTTCCTCTACCCCTTCGGCCCTGAACCTCTGTCCCGTAGTCACATCTTCGAACCGGAGCGTCAGTCGGCCTTCTTTGCACATGTCCAAATCACCGGAGCTGATTTTCTCTCATCTTTCCTACAATTTCGGCTACTTCTACTTTACCTCAGATATCCTTATTCCCAATCTTATCCTTTCTCGTGTGCCCACACATCCCACGAAGCATCCTCATCTCCGCTACACCCATTTTGTGTACGTGTTGATGCTTCACCGCCCAACATTCTGTGCCATACAACATCGCTGGCCTTATTGCCGTCCTATAAAATTTTCCCTTGAGCTTCAGTGGCCTACGACGGTCACACAACACGCCGGATGCACTCTTACACTTCATCCATCCAGCTCGTATTCTATGGTTGAGATCTCCATCTAATTCTCCGTTCTCTTGCAAGATAGATCCTAGGTAGCGAAAACGGTCGCTTTTTGTGATCTTCGCTAGATTGCTCCGGTCATTAGTGTGGATAAGTATATAAATGGATAGAGATAGGAAAGCAAACACAAGATGTACGTGGTTCACCCAGATTGGCTACGTCCACAGAATAGAAGAGTTCTCATTAATTGTGAAGGGTTTACACAAGTACATAGGTTCAAGCTCTCCTTTAGTGAGTACAAGTGAATGATTTAGTACAAATGACATTAGGAAATATCGTGGGAGAATGATCTCGTAATCACGAAACTTCTAAATATCGGAGTGTGGTGTCGTCTTGACTTGCCTTATCTGTCTCATAGGTAGATGTGGCATCTTCTCTGGAAGTACTCTTCCTCCATCCAGGGGTGGTATCTTTAACTGGTGGAGATGCACAAGGTAATGTATCAATTTCACTTGAAGCTTACTTGTAGTTTCAGGCTTGGTCAAGCGCGATACAAACCATGTAGTAGGAGTCCCCCAAGTCGCCGAGCTAGGGGGTCTGCTGAAAGAGGTGACAGACAAGGTAAGCAATCAGAGCTCCGACTGATTGTTCACCTTCTCCCCATCTTGCAGCAGCATGAAGGATAAAGAGAAGAAAAATGAGAAGAGATGATATGAGATACTTTTGCTTTTGAAGAAGTAACTTTCCACAGGCTTATTCTTGAACTGAGCTGGAGGGTTTTCTGGTTTCCTCCAGAGTATAAGGCCGACTGAAGAATTTGAGGGTCAAAACAAGTCCATCAAATCTAGAGTACGTTCCACCCTGCTGATATGGGATACTTTTGCTTTTGACAGAGTAATGGATGTATCGGCACGTGTGCTGTTACGCTTGTCTCCACATGCTTCCTTGTATCCTTCGCACTTGCCCTATCTGTTCCTCAAGCAGATGCGGAATCTTCCCTGGAAACATAAGATGTTGAAGATGAGTACTCGAGAGCAATGCCAGGTAAGTAATCAGGTAAGGGGTTCCAGGCAGTCAGTTCCTGGCTGGAAGCTTGATTCCAAGTGCTGACTGATTGCTCTCTTTCTCCTTGTCTTGCAGGTAAAAACAAGGCCAAAGGAAAAGACAGGGAAAAAGCATGATATGGGATACTCTTGCTTTTAACCCTGATGATATGAGATATTCTTGCTCTAGTATAGCTTGTTTGCAGAGGTATTATCGGGGGGAAAGAAAGCTGAATATTTCGAAAGGCTTCGTTGGGAGTGCCCTCTCAGATATGATGAAGGGTTGAGCATTTTTGCAGGTCTGCCTGTCCGTTGGGGATGGAGGTCGACATATATAGGAGTCTCCCTAACAACAAGTAGTAATGTTATTCCTTTACCCTGCTTGGTCATAGCACGGTAGTGGGAGCTGCCAGTTTCACATGTTTTAACTCTGTCAGAGCACTTTGAAAAAGTGGTCTGTGGTATCTGGCTCTCGAGATTTGGAGAACGATGCCTCTTCGATTCGATTTTTGAGAAAGCAATCATGCTGGGGGTCTGGCTCTCGAGATTCGGAGAGCAGTGTCTCTTCGATTTTTGAGGAAGTAATCATGTTGGGAGTCTGGCTCTCGAGATTCGGAGGGCGGTGCCTCTTCGATTTTGGAGCAAGCAATCCTGTTGGGAGTGTTGTCTCGAATGTGAGTAAAGGTTGGGCATGTTTGCTAGTCTACCTTGCCACGAAGCACAGAGGTTGACACACATGGACTTTCCAATTATCCAGCAATGGTACTGTTCCTTTACCCTCTTTTCGCTTTTGAGAAAGTAGTCATGTTGGGAGTCTGGCTCTCGAGATTCGGAGGACGGTGCCTCTTCGATTTTGGAGCAAGCAATCTTGTTGGGAGTGTTTTCTCGAATGTGAGTAAAGGTTGGGCATGTTTGCTAGTCTACCTTGCCACGAAGCACAGAGGTTGACACACAGGGACTTTCCAATTATCCAGCAGTGGTACTGTTCCTTTACCCTTGTGGGTAATAATATGGTAGCTAGACCTTCAAAATTTATGTGTCTAAACTTTGCTAGTGCTGTTTCTTTGCTATTCTTTTACCTTTCTTGGTCAGAGCGATGTAGTGGGAGCTGCAAGCTTCACGTGCTCAACTTTGGCAGAGAACTTTGGCAAAGTTATATGTGGTACCCATGAGCTATTGTTGCGTGTGGGAAGTGGGTGATTGAACAGTAAGATTCATGTGCTTTCTACTTCACCAGAAGTCTTCGACAGAATGCCCATAATTTCTGTAAAGCTGAGTGTGCGTGTGACAGGTGCTGACAAGGCTAGAAAAGTAGGTGCCTCTTCGATTTCTGAGATCGGCCCTCGTGGTCTCTGAGCAGCCCAGCTTTTGAGAAAGCGAGCGCCTCTTCGATTGATTTGGAAAACGATGCCTCATCGATTTTTGAGAAAGCAATCATGCTGGGGGTCTAGCTCTCGAAGATTCGGGGAGAAGTGTCTCTTCGATTTTTGAGAAAGTAATCATGTTGGGAGTCTGGCTCTCGAGATTCGGAGGGCGGTGCCTCTTCGATTTTGGAGCAAGCAATCTTGTTGGGAGTGTTTTCTCGAATGTGAGTAAAGGTTGGGCATGTTTGCTAGTCTACCTTGCCACGAAGCACAGAGGTTGACACACAGGGACTTTCCAATTATCCAGCAATGGTACTGTTCCTTTACCCTCTCTTCGAATTTAAGAAAGTAGTCATGTTGGGAGTCTGGCTCTCGAGATTCGGAGGACGGTGCCTCTTCGATTTTGGAGCAAGCAATCTTATTGGGAGTGTTTTCTCGAATGTGAGTAAAGGTTGGGCATGTTTGCTAGTCTACCTTGCCACGAAGCACAGAGGTTGACACACAGGGACTTTCCAATTATCCAGCAGTGGTACTGTTCCTTTACCCTTGTGGGTAATAATATGGTAGCTAGACCTTCAAAATTTATGGGTCTAAACTTTGTTAGTGCTGTTTCTTTGCTATTCTTTTACCCTTCTTGGTCAGAGCGATGTAGTGGGAGCTGCAAGCTTCACGTGCTCAACTTTGGCAGAGAACTTGGGCAAAGTTATCTGTGGTACCCATGAGCTATTGTTGCGTGTGGGAAGTGGGTGATTGAACAGTAAGATTCATGTGCTTTCTACTTCCCCAGAAGTCTTCGACAGAATGCCAATAATTTCTGCAAAGCTGAGTGTGCGTGTGACAGGTGCTGACAAGGCTGAAAAAGTAGGTGCCTCTTCGATTTCTGAGATCGGCCCTCGTGGTCTCTGGGAAGCCCAGCTTTTGAGAAAGCGAGCGCCTCTTCGATTTCTGAGATCGGCCTTCGTGGTCTTTAAGCAGCCCAACTTTTGAGAAAGCAAACGCCTCTTCGATTTCTGAGATCAACCCTCGTGATTTCTAAGCAGCCCAGCTTTTGAGAAAGCAAACGCCTCTTCGATTTCTGAGCAGGCGCCTCTTCGATTTCTGAAGCTCCGTCGAGTGCAGATTTTTATAGGGGCTGGCATTAAGTTCCAAAGCACACTTGAATCTCCACCAGTAGAAGCTTCATTCTTGCACTTCTAAGATCTTGATTTGTCCGACCTCTTCTCTCTCTCTTCAACACCTTTGAAAATGTCTGGCCCCTCCGACCGTCGTTTTGACTTGAACCTTGTTGAAGAGGCAGCCCCGCCTTCTCCAGACAACATATGGCGCCCATCCTTCGTCTCCCCTACTGGTCCTCTTACCGTTGGGGATTCCGTGATGAAGAATGATATGACCGCTGCGGTGGTGGCCAGGAACCTTCTCACTCCCAAAGATAACAGACTACTTTCCCAACGGTCTGATGAGTTAGCTGTTAAGGATTCGCTGGCTCTCAGTGTTCAGTGTGCAGGTTCTGTGTCTAATATGGCCCAACGCCTATTTGCTCGAACCCGCCAAGTTGAATCATTGGCGGCTGAAGTGATGAGTCTCAAACAGGAGATTAGAGGGCTCAAGCATGAGAATAAACAGTTGCACCGGCTCGCACATGACTATGCTACAAACATG